AAAAAAAAAAAAAAAAAGAAAAATTAACCTATGGCAAGCACATGTGATATCAAATTGTGAAAGCAAGGCCAATACAGCCGATGATGCACTCGGGTCACTGATAGCATTACTTAAAGAAGTATATAACTTAAGTAGTTTGGATGACGAAACACAATGAGGGGTGAAACACTGTGTTAAAATATTAGCTAAAAGAGAGCTAGAGCCATGTAAAACAACGTGCATTAACTTCTCTTGCTCATTCGGATTGTAGGCAATAAAAGTCTGAAAATAAATTATAAGAGTGAAACTCATTACTTGCTATCCATTCCTATGTTAGGATATTCACCACATTTCAAGCAATCAACTCACCTTTCCTAGTTTAGTTAAAACAAATTCATAAGAATTTCTTGATGCCGGAAAAGGCATTCCCAAAGACGAAGTAAAAATGAGATGATAAAAAAGTATTCCGCCTACATCATGCAATTGCCTTTTCTGACTATCTGCACGGCTGTCACAATCTCTCAAGTAAACGCACAACTTTCTGAAAATTACTCTAAAAATCAGTGCTCCAAGAGTCAAGCTTCTGAAGTTATAATTTTTCAATTTTTCCACGTTTTTTTTGTACTTCCATTTAATTCACATAACAATTTAGATTAAACGAAGATAAATTCCCAAAAGCATCACTTCATTACAAGCTCAAATGACCTGAAAAGGGTCAAATTACAGTTTGAAATAGAATTACAACAACTTACGATGCTATAGATTCTAAATATGCACAATGAAGCGACGTCTGCTCAAACAACTGGGAGTAAATGCTTGCCAATTCCTCTGACCTTTTCTGACGGTTTAACTTCATTTCATATTCCACAGGTGTCTAGAAAAAACTACGGTAATTGAAACACAAAGTCATATGTGACGAAACATGCAGTGCACTTGAAATATCTTATATGCTCTATTTCGCTAATATTTTCTTAATTAAAAAAAAGTTGAAAAAAACGACCTGATAATGACTCGCTGTTACGGCTACCGAAGATGTAACTGGCTGCGTACACTTGCCTCCAAGAGGATTACTGCACTTTAACAGAACAGACAATTCAGTAGTCGACTTTGTATAAAGCTGTGAATAATATCCAACATATACCTCATCCATCGCTTCCAGATGAGCTTTCACGCTAATGAATGACCTATGATGTTCAAAAAAATTAAGAATATTAAACTAGAAATTTACCATCTCGATAGACGTTCAACCTCCAATTCAATTTTAAAATCATTTTCATGCAATCACAAACATGAAGCATTGACGAAAGTACTGAACAAACTTTGCAGCTGCATTGATTTTCTTTATTTGTGAAGCAAATGGCACCAGACCAGAATTTGTATCACATGCCATGGACAAATCAAAAACAATTTCTCGTGGAAGTGTTATATGCAACGGTATCGTCGGTTGAGGCAATGCATTGCTTCGTTTTTTAAACATTGCTGTCAACTCCGTAAGAGTAGGAGCAACAAATATTGATGGACTGATCGCGAAAGAACCGATATGACATGCAGTTGTATATAGCTGAAAAACACGAAAACTCAGTAATAATAGCAAAAAAGGAAATAGCATAAAGAAGAAAATAACGTATATACTTGTTGTTCCATCTGAACTTCCTTCCGTAACTTATTTATATCAACATATTCTAACCATGGATGCTGAAACAAATTAGAACAATATAACTGGAAACTTATGGTGTATAATCAAGAATTTTCATAGAAAACATCTTCTAAATGAACACAATACAAATCAAAAAGACTCATAAATTGTTTAACCACAGTTGTTTATCCAAAAATCAACGAACAAAGTCATTAGCAATGATGGGGCGTAGCAAATGGTCGAGCAGTATATGGTCAGAAGTGCAAATCGATGAACTGGAAAATTCTGAAACTGACAACCACTGAGAATACGCCTGCAAAAGTGAAGTTTAGTATAGTCTACAGTGAAAAGTTCTTGAACTCCATAATTTTCATCAATAGGTAAACAGAAAAATTACTTGTCTCATATGCAAGAAATACATAAACCCTTTTAAAATTTCAAATGTAGTGTGTTTCTGTCTTCCAAAAGATATTAGAATAATCGCTAGACACTATCTTCTTCACAGCATTCAAATTTAAAATTTTAAAAAATGCACGCTTTAAATCAAATTCACCAAATGCATTTCAATTTTCACATCATACCGAAATAATCGTTACAAAACTGATATAAAGCTTAAAGTATTATTAACTGACATGACTAATTTAAGATATAAGAAACAGGATATAAAACTATTCAATATTACCTTGCAAAATAAGGAGACATTCTTATCACCACAACATTCTAATCTAAGCAAATTTTTCCGCAGTTCATCAAATAAGAGCTTACTTGTTGGATTCATCACATATTTTTCGCCATAACAAAACTGAGAGCTAAAGGGTTATTGGATATAAAATCAAGAAAAAGAGGAAACAGAGATATATGGTGTCATCATACAGCACCACAGAACATATTAAATACTAATTACTTGAAGCAGAAATTGGAATCTTTTCGTTAAATCTAGTAACTTTGAAAAAGTACTGAACCATAAAACTGTGTTCAAAAATAATGCAGCATGAAATGGAAATTGTAATAGTTACTTCATGAATATTTTCCGTGAATATAGATGGATTGCCAAGTTTTGTAAAATTAAAGGAAAAAGAGGATGCTCGCTTATGTTTTCAGTGCACGCGAACTGCAACCAACGATGGAAGTGCAATCGCTCAACAGGAATATAAATATGAGATTTGGATGCTGCTTTCTGGAAATCAAATTACTAAAACCATTCATGAATGGAACTACAACAGTAATTTACCAGGAAAGCAAATAGCCATCACAGAGAATCAAATTGTTTTGTCTTTCGATAACCATAACTAATATATAATCAAAAGATAAACTGAATAAAGAGATATAGGTATTATTTTGGTTCAATATTCAAGAGTACCTTTACACACTGATCTAAACTATATTTTGGATATTTGCTCATTGTTTGGTACAGAGCTTCATAAAAAGTTTGATGACTTTGCTGTTCAGCAAGCAACAGTCCATAGGTTGCCCATGGTGAAATGCTAAAATTTTTGGTATCAATAAGAAGTGGAACATTACCATCGCTCGTGAACCATGATATAACGCCTTTAGAATCTTCCTTCCACTGCTATAACAAAATTATAATTTGAGAACGCCTTTATAGACTGCATCGTTAATATTTTATATAATAAAATATGTAAGGATGCTAAGGGGTAGTGAGGTTTACCTAGATAATAAATAAAAAAAGAAATCCCTGCAAGGAAAGTTATAAAGACAATTCAATACGAAAACATTCAACACAGTGTTTTGAACACTATTTTAAAAACTTGAAAAGATACTTCACTCAATAGCCAACTAAATTCTGGTACAACCAACTGAATTTTTTTCTGTTTGCGTACAATACGAAATGCTCAACAGGCCAAATTTGAATGTTCTCTACATTTTTAAAATGTATTCTAATATAAATGAGATAACATTACATAAGAAAGAGAGAGAATAAGAAAAACCTGTAACAAAACAGCATAGTTAATTTTTAATAAATTTGGAATTTCTAGTAGTTTAGACTGGTCCTTGACAAATGCGATACGTACTAGTACTCCCAACAAATAAAGTGTACATTTATCGGTATTCCACTGAGTGGATCTTTTGCAACACAACAGCTCTATCCAACCAATTAGATGTAAATCCGAAAACTTCTCATTCAAATAATACTATAAGTATAATAAAATATCAAGATATGCAGAAGTTAAAAACCTTTTTTATGTTAAAAACTAGACTGAAGAACTGAACTCGACAGATACGAGACCGAAAGTACCAATAATTAAAGCGGCATACGAACCGTAATAGCTGAACTTAAAAGTCGGAGAACTGGACCAGGAAACTTATCTTTGCCAGTGATTAGTTGAAATGCATATAAACTTTGGTCATAAAGAAGTAATCGGTTAAGATTTTCTATGAAGCTGAAAAAATTAAATGATGAAGCATTTTTAAATCGATTATTGCAATAAAGAGGTCAAGGAATTAGAACTTAAATAGTATCAATACATATTAAATTCCAAGAACTGATGTTTAATATTACTCTGATTGTAAAATTAGTTCACGAACTGCATCTGGAAATGAAGAAACAATGCGCGCAAGCACAACAACTGATGCAGCATAGCAACCAGAAGAAGTGAGTTTTGACCATAATGTTAGTCCCAACGATAAAAAATCGTCGATACTGAAAGTGATAATAAAGTAGCAAAGAGAACAAAATGATTCCAAATCAAGAACTGCAAACAGCTGATTGTAGCAAAAAATTTGACCTCACTAAAGAACGTTGAATGACAAAAACGAAGAAAGACGCGAGATCGTTAAATGATGGAGCACTCAAAGCAGTTGTCTAGAAAATAACTTAATAAAACAAATTATGATTATCATTCACTTTCACTGTATACAATTTTAAAAATATTCCATACTTTTAAAACTGCACGTAGTGGAAATAAATGCTTATGGACTTTTTAGAGTAAGTACGTAGTATCTGAATGATGAAAAGGCATTAAGAACTAATTTTAATGAATTCAATACAAGTCGCCTTAAAAAGACATTATTTCTAAGCAATACTCTAATGAAATATAAGCAATATCGAAGAAATCTGAATATATTCAACTAGATAAATCATTTTTTTTACATGATTGGAATAATAAAAACGAACTTGTGAGGGTAATTTGAGTCGTATTAATATATCCCAACAAAAAGAGTCAAACTGATGCTCGTAATCTGGGACTTTTGATGCCATTTTTGTAACTTTATTCCAGGACTTTGAGATCAATCCATTGGTTGCTTTACACTGAACCAGATGTCCTTTAATCAGGGTTTCCGCACAAACTACATGCACTTCAGATGTTAACCACAACTTTCCATGTTCATCTGTTCCCCAGTTCATGGAACCAAGCAAACGCCTAAAAATCGTTTTCAAAAAAATTGGCTTTTTGACCAGACTTGAATTTTTATGAACAGTAAGAAGCACATATATCTCGAACCTTAAATGTCACTTGTTACTCCACAGCTTCAAAAGCGATTTTTCTGAATAATTCTTAAAAAAAAAAGATATAATCTAACCTAGCTATCCTTGATGCTGGATGATCTGGAGGTCTATTAATTAGCCACTTACCACATATCACACCAACATCATCCACTGATAAGCGACACTTCGATAAAGGAGCCGTTGACAAAATCTCAACTGCATACTGGAAAAAGAGACAAAAAAGTACATGGTGTTTAGCTTTCAGACTTTAAAAACTCTAAAAACAGTCCAAATATCTTAACATATTGAAACAAAATCTGAAAAATCTGGTCTAATATTCAAGTTAATGTAGTGAGTAAACAGAAATAGTGATAAAAACCATAGAAATGCAAAATAAGCCAAGTTCAGCAGTGACCGGTACATTAACGAGGAATAAAGACACAAACTATAGTAATTATTCTTAAATAGTCTAATTGCGTTTTACAGCTAAGAAAAATTAAAATTTACCAACTGTTATCACTCACATCATCTAAAGCATGAAGATTCCGATCGATAAGAAGTAATATCTTCCGTAAAGTATGTGGATGCTTATCAATTAGCATGCCAATAGCTTCTGCGCCAGCTTTATAAAAATGATCACGCATAGATGGATCAAGAAAACATGCCTTAAATAATGAAACCTTTCCAATATAATTTCATACTTAATTTTAGCTTATGCAAGTAACTATCATGTTATTTTCAACAGTGAATAAATCTCGAGAATATAATAATCAAGAACAGTTTCATGAGGAACAGCACAATGTGTCAACTGCTCATTCGACTCATTTTAAATAGTAGGTTATTTTCACTGATACAAGTGAATCATAAATAAAATTTAAAATAAGTTACCTCATAACTTATTTTCAAAATTATCAGTGAAGAAAGCAAATAAAAACTACTCCCAATTTGTTACGACAAAAGTATGATGTAATTAAACGTAAAAAGGTTACGTCCAATATTTCATTGGCAAATGAATCAACTCCTTCCTCTGAAGCAGAAATTAAGGCTGATAAAGCAGAAATCATATAAATTCGATCATCACTAGGTAAATCTGGTAACTTGTCCACTAAACTGCCAGCTACAAAAAATGCAAGAAAATGTAATATTTATGATGAAGATACTGAAGTTACTAAGGCTATCAAACAAAAAGTCATTCATGCAGTAAAAAATATAAAACAAACGTGTAAACCTGTCTTTACTAAATACGGCAAATCTGATTCGGAAAATTCATATAACTGGGGTACAGTCACTTCGACTCTTCGTCTTAATAATATCTGACAACGCATTCTGCATGTTTCACTTACAACATCATATGGAAAATTGACCAAAAATTGCCAAAGACCCAAGCTGAAAGAAAGACATTTAGCTTTTATTAAAATCAAATTGTAATCTATATCTGAAACCAAATGTAAAGTACATATGATACCTTCGTTTGCTAATAATGTAGTAAATGCCATGTAACACAATCCTGTTCATTTCCTCCTGCACCATTTTGACTTCATCAAATAATAACGTATTCTTGACAGCTTTAAAGAATTCTGCAGTACATCTGTAATTCACTGATTAGATTTGCTTTAATTTTTATGAGCATAAATGATGAGCAAATGAATTATGAATTGAAAAAAATTTTTTTGACTTATCTTGTGACAATTATGACATTTAATTTCATAAAGTTGATTGTACAGAAATACTGTTAGCAGTTAATGGTCCCAAGCAGAACCTTTTTTGCAGAAATTCATGCCAATTTCAATGAATAAATATTTGATGAATCTATAAACGGAAGTTTATCCTATTTAATTTAAATAAGGAATAACATCACGCTCTGACGTAAGGCGTGACCAATTTGTTTACAAAATTGACGATACTCTGCTGTGCCATAAACATGTAAACCATCGTTGAGTATTTTCACTAGCAACAATGCAAAAGTAATCACCGTTAATACTCCGTCAATTGGACTAGACCCTTTAAAAAATCAACACTAAAAATTGATTTCATAACAAAAAAGCACAAACTATGGTGAACTTCCCCATTCTTTTTGATCCAAGAATAACTAGTATTCACAACCACGAGGTATGCCAAAATGAAATGTTTTCTGCTAAAATTTAGAAGCAAAACAAATAGATAAAAACTATTTCAAAATCTTTTATCAATTGATTTAACTTACTAAGAGTAATAACAAAATGACAGATTGCTTTTGCAAAAATGGCTTCAACACTGAATTGATTGAAAAATGCAATTAAATCTGTCTCATTCATTCTCACTGTAGATTCATCGATCTATGAAAAGAAATGACTAAAAGTAGTGAATGCAACATTGTGATTTCTCATTAAATACAAGAAGCAAGAGTTAGTTAAGTTCAACACTTACTTCGTTTCCATTGTCAGTGACTATAACCCAAGAATTGCAGTCCTTTCCAAAATCAGATATCCGTCGCAAAAAACTTTCACGACCCCTGTAACACACGTCATTTAATATATTACTTGAGTTTCCACTACAAATATACAGCATAAAAATGTAAAATAGTACTGAAATATAACAATATCGTCATTTAGCTACAATATTAAATTATGCCGATCTATCTTGAAAATGCATTACAAGTGTAAACAGTAGGAAGATTGTTACAAATAAGAACTAATACATTTTATTGAGCAGTCACTACATGATACCCATATATTTTAAAAATTAATACATTCAAAAGTAACAAAAGTAAAACATACCTTATCGAAGAGAACAATATACTCAACATTGTGATACAGTTATCAATAATGAGACGATCACATGAATTGTCTACTTCAACATATGACTGAAGTAAAGGTGTTGCCCAGTTAGAGATGGGTGAGACCAGGCGAAGCAGTTGACAAAGCAAATACTGTTGATCATAACATGTGCATGATTTAAGAAGAGCAGCTCCCTAAATTTTTTCGAAATTCATCTTAACTTTACTCACTAAACAGATCTACACACTATGAATATTATTTCAATAAAAAAAACTTTACCAGTTCGCTAATCCATCTTGATACATTTGTAATAAAGAGAGATGGAAGATTTGGGTAACGTAAGAAATTAAATAGATCTGACAGAGCACAGCGAAGGTTTCGTCGACTGTTCGTATCACAACAACCAGGAATAACTGAAATCTACGATCTATTACGGATAGTCTGAAAATGTAAATGACATTGTTGTGGAAAAAATAGACGGAAAAAGTATCTGATGAAAAGCAATCGAGGTTGAGAACCTAAAAAATCCAATCAGCATAGCAAAAGACCTATTAATTGAGATAAAATTTTTTATTTGAAGAATTGAGATGTAATAACACTTTCAACGAATCTTGTTCAATAAAATAAAGTTGAAGAAATAAGAAAAAAGTATGCTTGAAAACTAACGAGATGGTAAGCTGTCCACATCACAACGATTTTCTATCATAAAAGCATTACTGTAGTTCACAATTAGCCACTGAATTTGCAACGTAAGTGAACGCACCTAGAACCAAAGACTTTATGCACAATTTCTATTGCACACAGAAGACAATAAAACAAATACCCTATATGTGTTACACCTTAAATTACTTCATTTATAAATAGAGTGACAGCAATATACCCAACTTTCTACGAGACAAATAATTGAGGAACATATACGAAGTGAGATATAAGGTTTGCTGCAGAAACTCATATTCACTCACTTACATGTGAGATGACTATACTTTATGTCATTAATAAATCACATAATTAAGAAATGTTTATAATTAATGTGTGATACGTTGCCATGCACTTGAAAATATACTGAAATGAATGGATGAGCAAAGTGAAAATAAATAAGATGCTCCCTTAGTACTTGTCTCAAAAAAATTAGGACTAAAAGACCAATTATTTATGAGAAGGAAAATATCTGAAATACTTTAAATACCTGAATTTGTAAACATAATGAAGAATCAAGACGAGAAAATACATCACGCTTTAGTAACTGCTTTAACTCAGTGACTCGTTCAGGATGAAACGATGCTACGAGATAAGTTGCACTGCCTGTTGCATATTTCTGATCTCCACAGCGACCCTAAACTGTTCAAGAAACAAATATTCAGTCAGTTGATTCTGAATATGTAAGATGTTCTTATAACAGTTTCATCAAATGTTCCTCTTAAATATAACATATATTTACATAATGATTAGTGATACTGTATCGTAAATTATCCTGCAAATATCTGATCATTAAAAAAACCAACGATAATTCAGTTGCACGCTACTAAATTTAAAGAAAATTATGTTGTTTCATCCTAATTTCATAGTTTTCCAATGACAATAAATAACTACAATTTATGACAGTCTTGAAGAAAAAGTTTTTTCATAAAAACATGCTTCCATCTTAATAACCGGTTACATTCAACATGTTTTCCACTAAAATACGCCTACCTCAAGCTTAATGGCCCGGTTCTCGGCAACCCACGAAGACCGAACACATTCCTTCATCAGATTATCACATTCAGCAATATCAATTTCGCTTGCAATTATTTCCTCACATACATTTTTATAGCGCTCCAAATACTCATACAAATCATGTCGTGGAGATACTTCGTGCTGAAATAATATTGAAAGAATGCTAAAAACTTTAACTAGTTTTACAATCTGTATATTCCAGAATTTGCAAAATGTGTCAAAATTTCCAATCAAATAATTCAAATATGAGAGAAATGAATATTTACTTCCAAAAAATCGTCGATAAAGTCTTCAACAGCTTCATACAAATCGTTATGATAAAATGTTAACAACTGATTCTCTGTCAGTAATCCAAACTGATCTTTTTCCAATAACAAGGACGAATAAACATTAGCTATGCGTTCGTTCACAGTTTGTGTTCTTTAAGCAAATAAATATCAAATGATGTACAGAGAACAGTATGAATTCTGGCATCTAAGCAAGACATAAATATTCTTTGAAAAGTACTTAGTTTTGATGGGAATAATATATATTTGGTTTCTGGGCGATCCCTTTATTATATCTAATACCGTATCTGTTTCATCTTAAATTATATATATGATAAACTAGTGCATTTTCTAATTTTCTTAAACTGCCAGAAATTTATAAAACTTTTCCCCCATATTTTTCACGCAATCCTTATGTCTTATTACAGTTTAATATATATCTAACACTTCATTAATATCTGCAATCTATTTTTGCAATATATCTTAAAAATGAATGGAAAAGTTTTCCCTCAAATAGGTAGCAAAAAAAAAATAAAAAACACTAACTGAATTTGTGATGACTCGTGCCATGATTGGCTAGTAGCAGAGCAAAGCACTTCAACTGATCTGTTTGTTTGTTCATGTGAAAGTGAATCCCGTGGCTTTTCATCAACCTTTTTACCAAATGATATTTGCGAGTCATGCATTTGCAGACTAGGATATATTTGCGATCTGTGATACATTATTATATCTAAAAACTCCTTACAGTCCAAAATAAATTATTCATTAAAGAAGTCCCACAATTTTCTATGTTATTAGTGTATGACTGTCAGCTAAAATAAATAACTAATGATAAAAAATAACTAGATTGAAAGTTCTAGATGCGCTGGAAATTTAAAGATGATTTTCTTACGATATAGAAGTAAACTTTTTGAAAATAAACTACAAACTCGCCAATTAACTTACATTTCGTCTTTTGAGAAATCATTCATTGTGTCATTGCTAGATGAATAGGATGTGAATGTCCCTGAATTTTGACAAGTCTCATCAATACAGCCGACTTCATTCATACTCATTTCCTTCATTCCTGCTTTAGGTGGGTCTTCAGAAGCTATTTTGTGATTCCCAACCGTTCTGAAAATAGATATTCAGTATGTTACTCAAATCTTTTAAAACTATGTTGATAATAATTTAAAGAGACAAAAAGCCATACACCTTTCCTCATGCCATAAAGTGCTTTGCATGAATTTATCCATTTTTATTAAAAAAGTCTCGCCTTAATTCTTAAAATGTATTTAGAATCTGAGATTTTTTTTAGATTAACAAACCAAAGGACCAAAATCAATTTTAAATTGCTTTACCTGCAAAGCCAGAGTGAAAATGAGTCACCAATACACAGTAAACCAGACAACTCATTTTTGATAAAAAAGCTGAAGTATCTTACAAATCTCGCAATTTCCATAATTAATAGTTGTTTATCAAGTTAAAGCAATTTCGAACTTTCTAATTCAAAACCGCCCACTGTTTACCCTTCTAATTTATTAGAACAAAAAGTACAAATCACAACAAAACAAACTTCGATACTTCTCCAAAATCTATTCTGCCATTATCCGTCTCCTGGACCACCGCTGGGTTTTCAACACTCTCCACTGATCTAACAGTTTCCTTTTGCACAGAAAATGATTTGTTTCCAGATGCTTTATTATCCTCAGAAGCATTTCGAGACTCTTCATGCCCAACCCTTGATGCTAACGAACGAGGTCCGACGTTTATCAATCTTTCATTTAAATCATTACAATCTAAAGCAACTGGCAACGCCGAAATGCCATGTCGTCTCTGTTTCTTATCTTTCTTCTTTTCTAATTCCATAATACAATCTATAATTAATCATTTAATTTACAGATACCAAATCAGTTTGCAATCCCTTCCGACATTTGGAAAGTAACTGAACCTTACTCAAGCCATTCACTTATATTTGATGACATACTGGTGTCTAGATCTCCTGCCACGAAGGACAGGAATCTAATCGAACCGAACTTCACCACTCATTTTAATAATGCAGAGAGCTTAACTACTCTTCTTTCCCTTGTATGGTAAAAATAACTAATATTAACTACCTGAAGATATGGTACACAGCAATAATTAGTGAAAGATAATAATTACAGAATGATAATACTCTGAAAAGTGGGAATTTTATTTGGATTTAAAGCAAGATATAACGCAAGATACCTTAAAACAATTAATGCATGGAAGCATAAATTTAAATGAAAAACAGTGAGGAAAATCAGAATAAAACTCTTGGAAAAGATGATGGACGCTATGCTTAAAGATATTTGAAATTACGCTTCAAGCAATTTTAAAAATTTCTAAAAGACAAATTAAACCAATATTATTAACCAACAGATAAATCTATTTTTAGCACATCAATATTCTTTTTTCAAAAAGTAAACAGTATCGAATAAAAATGATTGCATAATAAATGTGCCATGATTTCTTACTAAAACAATAACCTAAATCATAGATTCATCTTTACAGAAATTTGCAAAAAAGAGTAAAACTTTTCAGAATCACTGTTCAAGATTACGAAGTTTAATCAATTAGCACTTCAATACATGAAAAAATTTACGAATCATTATTGTCACCATGCCCTGTTTCTTCACGTTTTTTCATCCCAGAAACGATATCATCGATTCTTAGCAACATCACTGATGTTTCAATTGATGTCTTCAAAACTTGTAGGCGGACGATGAGCGGATCCCAAATATTCGTGATATTCATGTCAACCTGAAATTCTAGCCTACCATAAGATTATATAATTTTAATGCTTACAAAATATATATTAACAGATCTCCCGAAAGCCGATTAATTATTCAATTGAAATGGAAATATATCACAGTATGGTTTAGATACCAAATAAACAATAGAGACTTACCAGGCATCACACTAGATTAATAGATGCATTTTAGGGAGGAAATTTTAGTCAGGAAAATATGCCTGCCATGAAAAAAAGGATTAGTTTTTATAAGCCAAGAAAAATTAAAATTATTCAGTATTTGTCAACGTACCAGTTGACCAGTATATCCATCGATTCCCCACGTCCAATTGGAAGCAGATTGCGCATGTTTTGCTCGCAAAGCTGTCAGCTGCCGAATTGTTGATCCTCCACAATTTTGCACCAGTGTTCTCGGAATGACTTCAAGTGCATGAGCGACTGCTTTATACGGCCACTGACGAACACCTCCGATTGACTTACCTTCCTCATTTAAAGCCTAAAAAATGAAACAGCTCCTTTCACAACTTTTTCAACAAGTATTTTAATTCCATGTTTACTAAAATTAGCAGAGCTACACATACAAACAAGAGTCAAATAAACTGAAGTCTCACATGAGCTAATGCCATTTCCAAGGCACCACCACCTGGAACGAGCCGTGGATCCAACATGACATTGCGCACTACATTCAGTGCATCCTGAAGGTTTCGTTCCAGTTCATTCATAACATCCTAAAACAATACATAACATTTTAGATAATGGTACACAGTGTTTTTCTACATTTTAAGTTGGTTACATTGAAACTGAAAGAAATATTAAAAAACTATAACATGATTATAGATTCACAACCTTCAAAAAGCTCATATATTTATGGTTTTTTCTAAACAAAATAACCAGTTTCCCAAACTAAATATTTTTCAAGAATTAAAAAATTTCACATACTAATGATCTACAAGATAATACATAACATAAAAGTGTTTAATCAGTAACAGTTTCACATACTAATTCTAATGATAAACAAGTGTTTATTTTGCTAACTGCTAAATAGATCTGCAACATAAACAATATAAAATTGTCTAGTCAACCATATAAATTAGCATAAACAAAAATGTCTAAAATATGCAGTCAAAAAATCCTTCAGACTAGCCTTGCTTGGACCACGCAGAAGTATCGTTACTGCAGTTGCTTTTTTCGAAGTAACATAAGTATAGTACTCATCTCCAATTTTTGTAATTTCAAACAAATCACAATTTTTGCCAACATCCTCCTCACGGAGATTTTGTGTGTCGTTGACGATCGTAGCTCCAGATACACTGAAATGTACACCTGATACGAACTACGATTATATATATTCTTGAGAACAAAAGCCAGCACCAATTTACAATTAGCCATACACATATGAGCCCTTTTGACATATTTCTGTACGGAATGATGAATTAAAACTAATCAACAAGAAACTTAAAGCGGAAAAACACCCCTTAATGTAAAGATCTTACCGAGCCAATCTATTATTATCACTTTTTTTCAGACGTCTTATTGCCGTGATACCAGCTTGTAGAAGATAATGTTGAGCCAAATCAGAAATGCCTTTCTCTGTGAAAACAATATCTGGTTTCACAGCTATTATATCGTTACACATTCTCCGAATTGCTTCTTCTTCCTCAAAAGAATAACGTTGAAAATAGAGAAAAATTGATGTGAAGGAAATTACAGTTGATAACAATCAACTTAGTAATGTCTGCAGTCATTTATGGATTCACCACTGGTCATCACTGTTGCAGAGATTACTCTTGTTAGTGGCTGAAAAACGCATGACTAAAAATGTAAAAAATGGTCTATGTTGAATAAAATGAGAAAAACCTGTTCAAGAATTTTGCTGAAATCTTCTTTTTTCATGATTTCGAGCGACATTTGACTTTCACCTTTCTTATATTCTATATTGCAATCAAGCAATACAATACGCGGCTTTTCCTTACAACGTGACATCTTTGCATGCGTCACATCCTTATTTAACACTACACCTCTTATCACCTGAGAATCTTCAATACGTCCACCAGGTATCTACAATGCAAAAAAAGCTTTCAATGAATAATTAATTATAAAGACATTGCTTGATAAAATACAAACCTTCTCAATACGACAGTATCGCTTGATATCGATTTCTTCATGGCCATGTTCAGTGACTCGAATAGTCCTGACTGCATTTAATGCTATTTTGATAGCTAGATCAATCCATTTCGACAACATTTTTGTACCCAGACATGATTTTACAACAGAACCCATCTCCTCGTCATTGTTTATGTCAATAACCTTACTAAATCAAAACCTGATTTTATACACAATCAATTATTCAGAAACAAATGCCAAAATAAAAAATTATAAACATCTTCATCCACTCATTATACTGATTTAAATGCAACAAAATTGAGAAACTAAATATCCTGCTTCACTTAAATTGTTTCGCAAGTTACCTGAACTTCTTTTTCGCGAGCACAATCATATCTTCCAAAGCCATTCGATAACCCTGAATAAAATTTTATTTGACAAATACATTCAAAGAAAAGTATTTCTTATGTCACAAACGCGTTTAAAAAGCATAGTGCCTCACTGATACTGACAAGAATAACCACCTGAATAATGGAAGTAGGATGGATATTCTGATCTAAAAACTGCCGTGCTTGCGACATCACTTCGCCAGTCATTACTATAACTGATGTAGTACCATCACCAGTTTCTTCATCTTGTGTACGAGCTATTTCGATTAATGTTTTTGCCGCTGGATGTTTCACCGTAATTTCACGCAAAATTGCATTACCATCATTCGTGATAACTATTCCTGTGTGAATGAAAATATATTAAGTATTGGTGAAAATTATAGTACCATTTCAGTTACAAGTCCAGCACTGCCTAAGCCAAATGAAATAACTAATAATGCTAAATAAATCAAGCCATATATTAACATTATGGGAGTAAAAATCTTTTCTAATCTTTTGTCTTATTAACATGTATAATAAATCTACCTCCCATTGGATCCAACAACATTTTTAACATTGCACGTGGGCCCAAACTTGTACGAATAACATCAGCAATAGTCTGAAATACTAAACGAAATTAGAAAAAAAAAAGTGACTTATTCTTTGACCAATTCTGGGACAGAATAGCAACAGAACCAAAATGAAATATGTAGAGAAATAGCAAATTGTATCTTTACTTGTCATTCATGAGTTACAAAACCTGTAACCGAAATCCATTTTATTTAATCTTTTGTTAAATATAAAATCTTTATTATATTCAGCAATTGTTTTACAAAAAGCTGAAAAATGATGAAACCACTGTATATGCATAAATGAAGCTGAGGATTGATAAGACGAAAAAAATTGATAATGACCTTGGCAGCAGCAATGTTACCAAATTGTACTTTATTACCACTTTCACGAGTGGTACTTTTATTAAGTATAATTACAGGAGCAGCTTCGCTTTCACGCATCATTTCTTAATGTGATCGTACTGGAATATAACAGTACTACAGGATTGAATATCGCTTGAACCAATAACAATGCAATCAATTTTATCTTCCAACTAATCATATATAATAAAAACAAGCCCGTTTACATTACAATTTATACTCTTACTCATGTAAGAAACGCTCCAACTACGAAAATATCTAAAACACTGGAGAGCAGCACATAAGATATCGAAAATGCAGACGAGATTTTGAGACTAGTAAGTAGAATTTTAATTCAATGAGGTATACTAAAAATTTCATTGTATCGTTATGAAAACTTTCTCTTCCCGCATTATATGCAAATCAGTATATATGTACTTATTTCTTTCATTGTCACCAAATATTAAAATTGTTGTTGACTGTAGTGAAAATTGGGTTTGTTATTCTTTCTCAACATTTGATTACAGTGAAAAACAAGTAATTAGATATTTTATTCTTAATCTTTACTTTCACTGAAAACATTTTTATAGGATAACTTATGTACTATGTATGAAAATGTCAATAATATATATAACTGCATTATTCGTATATAAAATTGTTTTATTTAACTCAGCGTTTTAATTATGATTTGTCATCACTTTATTGCTGCTGAATTATTAAACCTTATTATTTGTAATAAGTAAATCGGCAATGATTCTCAATTTTAGTACTATGGTAAAGCATTTTTGTAAACTGTAAATATAATAATGTATAATTATTATGAAGAATGTTTTACTTGTGCGTAAGTAAAATTGTGTTACTAAAGTCTAAAACATTCGTAGTCATTACATGAATAATAATTAATGTGTACAATTTTTTCCAGTTGACTATACTACATTTTATGTACTATAGTTTTATGCTTTACGTACATACTGCTTACTCTTACAAGCACGCTAATGCCTGTCATAATGAGATTATTTTTTGCCAAAGCAGTCCTAGCAAGCTTATCAGTGATTAAGTTTTTAAATGTTGTTCATTCTCGTGTTTCTCTTAACCTCTCTACATTTTATTTATCTTTTTTGATATTCAATGAAAACAGAAATTAATTTGTAGTGAAAGTATTTCTATTCCTTATTTTTGTTCACGCCTTAACACAAATGTTTCATTTGTTATCAGTGCTTATCAGTGCTACTTATCCTTTTTAATTTTTTAAGTTTTTAGAATGTGTGTAAAAGCGAATACTATGTGCATCCCATTTTTTAAATTCTTTCTGTACAATAATCTTTCTTTTACATCAATTTGATTTAATTTTCACACTATTATTGTTTCTTTAAAATGATGTGATATGCTCTGTGAAAAAAGTTGTTCCTACAAATTTGTTTTTGAGGATTATTCATTGCATTCAACAATATTTTTGCAAGAAAAGAATTATGTAGCATGTTTCTGTACAATTTGTTGAAGATAAAGCAACGTTGGAGTACAGCTTAAATTTGCCAGTGGTGGATTGCGAGGAAGAGCGGGTTGACAGGTTTTTATTCCTCAGCTTGTTTTTCGCAGTACCACTTAATCAGATTTCAAAAAATTGGTATGAAGTAATAACTTATTTTAACATACAAAATTACAATATTTTCATTCAGAAATAATCTAGAAATGCATTTTTAATTAATTTGTTGGCTATCAATCAAAAACAATTTCGTTACTTTTCATTGATTCATTGCAAAACATTTCACAGAGCATATCACATCATAAAATCTTGGCAAGTATTGCCAGAATGCTTGCCAACCAACATAAAAAAGTATGTGCTTCAAATTATTTATGGAATTCAAAATTACAACTCTGGCGATCGATCATTCTCTAGGCATTGTGCTCAGTTTGTTCGCCTACCATTCCATTGCTTATAACAGAATAACATAATATTATAAAAAGAATTGAGTAGATAAAACTGATATATCAGTTATTTCCAAACCATTTTCAGATGGGTTAAGTCATGATTCTGAGACAAATGTTACTAAAATTATAAAATCTACATCATTACGTACTAGTATCAGTTTATTTATAAACCATGGAGTAATATTATGGTTCATCAGAAATTTCACAAATTTATGCTTTGCTTAAGAGATTACACAATTACCACTGTAAAAATAATTCCTTTTATCAAACTTTTTTCTTCATAAAATATTTGACATATTTAACATAAATTAATTAACTAAAAAGTTATTTTCTAGCAAAGTTCGACGAATTTCTTGGATGCAAAAAATAAATAAAACAGGCAGTGAAGAATTCTTGATAAAATTAATCTTAATCGACATTATGCATGAAAACGTTGTCCTCTTCATAACATTCCAGAACTAAAAAAATGTTTACAAGTTTTAATATATGCTGATTTAGCTATAGCTAATAATAATAAATGCAATGAATGGATACATATTAAAAAAAAGAAGTAACATAATCAATAATTAATTTCATCATCTATTTGCGACAATTTAGCAGCATATGTGATGCAAATTATTTTACTAATTTCTTTGGTATTTCTGTCAAGCAAAATTTTGCTATCACAATTTTGTTCAACAATTGTACACAGTTCTTAACTCTTACGTGTAGTTGT